GAGAGAGAGAGAGGAAAATGAGAGAGAGAAAATGAGAGTAAGCTGACAAGATGAACGCACTGCGACGCAAATGACCAAAACAAAAAGTAGCATCAACAAAACACGCGCCAACAGAAAACACGCTCAGCTCACCCACTCGCACGCCGCCCAACTCGGACTCACTCGCAACAGCAGCTCTCTCTCGCATCTCGCCTCCAACAAGACCCGCTCAGACCCTCTCGGTGCGTCTTAACGGCTAAGCGACCTAACATGGGTCTGTGCAGGCCCCCCCCCCCCCCTTCCCCCACCCGCCCAGTCTGTGGGATTGGGCAGTACTCTGAGACCCTAGTCTCGCCTGTAGCAGGCATGTCCCACCGTGAAACGCGCCCCGAGAGTGCGCTTGCCAGAGCCTATCTCCGGCCCCCGATGCCCTGCTCTCGAGGAGTTTTCTGGAAAGCATCGAAGCCAGACCAAACAGCCCCCATCCTTGCTTCAGCTGAACCATGTCCGCTCCAGATGGGAGCGCCTTGCGAATCCCATTCTGATCAAGACAGGTTTGGAAGCAGAGAAGAGGTGTAACTCGTGTAGCAGTATCGAACACGAGCATACCAGCTCAAAATCATGTGACAGCCAGGGAGGACGAGAAAAGAGAGAGGTTTTGGTACATACGTGGTCACCTGGCACCGCGACACCGGGCTCCTCTTTGTAACTCTGGCGATGGGACATCGCGACCGAGGTTGCTGGTCAAATGGGACTGAACTCCTGCTTCCTGAGATCTGTCAGCCTCGTTCCAGCCACCACGATGCAGCCACCTCAGCCGTTGAGATAGGGGTGCTGGTTCAGTTGTTTTCCAGCCATATGCTTGCAACATCCGTGCGTGGAAACCAGGGAACAGGGGATTCGGCGCCAGGACCGTCTCAACTTACCAGCGGGCTGCAGGTGAACGTCGCAAGACAGTTCACACCAGCGTCGATTTGATTTCGTGATCTCTGCGGACGCCAGATGAAACCTCGCCTGTAATGTTTCGCTGTCTTCCGACCTATCTGCTAGGATACTCAGTCAGCGGATGTTCACAAAACGGCAGATTGAGAGCCGCAATTCCACGATCGGGGAAATGCATAATGTCGACGACTCGTGGTACGAGAGTAGGAACGCCATTTAAGGGAGGGCTGTCCAACATCCGCCCAAGTCAACAATGGGTGCAATCGCGACCAATGCAGAGGAACATCCGGAAATAGCGCGGTTCGTATTTGCAACGGCAAGCCGCAGGAAGCATTCCGGGTGATCGGGTGGATCCCAGCGAGCTGAACGAGGGAAATGTTGGTGTAGCGAACGGCTGGGTGACGGGACTTCGAGTTGTACAAGTTGATATGGGACGGTCTGATCATGAAGAAGAGCCTCCTCGATGGCTGCTGGGCTGGCAAACATGGTGCAAGGTTCCGCCACCCGACGTTGAGCTTTCGATTTTAGTGCAGAGCGGCGTTGTGGGTCGCTCGCGTGCGCCCTGAAAGAAACCCACGTTTTTTTTTTCACTCGTGAACCGGCCGCTAATCCTAGGGCCAGGAGAACCCGACCACGGTCGGTCGGTTCAGGTACAGACAAAGAAACGACTTGCTAGACAAGAACAAAACACGCAAGGAAAATTTGTTATGAACTCACTTCTAGGATTCTTGCAAACAAATCTGCAGTGGTGCAGTGGGGTCCCTTCGCAATGACCGTCGTGGTACGGTGGCTGATTCTCCAAAGTATCTCGTCAGTCTCGTGTTCACATGCATTCTGGCAAGTGAGAGGTCAAGAGAGGGAGGGAGAGTGAGGAGAGGACCTGACGCGGAAAGGGAAGATGCGTACATACCAAAAAGAAAAGGAAAATAAAGAAAAAAGAAAGCTCAGTGCTGCCAACTCAATATCTTCCCTGACGAAGCTGAATGACGCCGAAGAGCCACGAGGCTGATGAAGGAGTGAAAGAAGGCTGGATGAGAGACCGCTGTCAGTGACAGAGACAAGGTAGGGCAACTCGGGGCTTGGGGGTTGGAAGGGGGGGGAGGGGGGGGGGATGGGGGGCAAGATATATGATGCAGGGCAAGGGTGGTTGGTAAATATCGGGGCGGCGGCCAGGGGGGCGAGCCAAGCGGAACAGGCGTCCGCACACTAATTAAGGAGATGGGTGATGGGCCAGCGTAGGACAGGGTGCGAAGCCGGACCATGGTCATGCAGTAGGCCTGCCACTGCCTGGGCACCTTCGCTTACAGAGCAGCCCTCTACCGTCGAGTGCAAGAAAGACAAGGATCGAAAAGACGCCACGGCATGACAGGTCGCAATGACCAATCTAGCACACAGGCCTAGAACGTACGTACCTCTTTGATGCCGTAAGATATTCTTTTCGTTGAGAGGGAGAGAGGGAGAGAGAGAAGAAAGGTGGAGTGAGCTATTCGTAGACGGGACTTAAGGTTCTAAGGTTTGCCAGGCAGTTTTCTGCCAAAGTGTTAGTCGACGGGCTACCCATGCACGTGTAGCTACGACTAGCTGGGAGTCGGGTCCAGGTCTGAACCTACCAAAGCTGTTTCGAAGATGGCCGGTCCAGATAACGAACGAATTGAGAGTCCCCCGTCCGCTTTGTATTGTAGTTGCGATGACGTCTCGAAGGAACTGTATATCCTGTACGCAAAAATAAAACAAAATAGAAGAAGAAAAAGAAAAGAAAAGAAAAAAAAAACCTTTCCCCGCAATTTCTTGGTCCAAGTATTCCCGTGAGCTCCTGAAAGTCGGAAAGGGCACACTCGGCCTTCTCGAGACTCAAGTTGGAAGGGCTTGATCAACGTGGTATTGATCGTGGCTACTCCGACGAGACGGATTGCGTTTGATGCCGCCGATAAGCCCTGCGCCCAAGGGGAGGATGGGGATATGGATGTATGAGCGTCAAGTGGAGAAAAGATCTTTTCAGATGATCTACTCTGTCGAGGATGGCGAGTTCGGGACCAGGTATCTGGATCAGGGGGTCTGCGATGTTCCTCGAGGTTGGTCCCTGGGAGGCGTGCTCTGGGTGCTGCCGAGTCGCTGCTGAGGAACGTCCGACGGGTATGTGTGTGTATTGACTAGGATTGAGGCCGGAGGCCGGAGGCAGGAGGCAGGAGGCAGGAGATGGGATACACGATGGTTCCGATCTGCGTGGCACAACTGTCAGCGGGGGTGTATCCAGAGAACGGGGTTGAGTCTAGAGACTCGAGATTGCAAAGATCAAGATGGCAGACCAGAAAGAATGTGATGCCTAGGGCTGCAGATACCGATGGGAGAGCAGTGGGATCCGCGCGACGTCGTGGAGCAGGCGTTTGATAATCTTGCTTTCTCTTCTCCGCAGACAAATGGTCGCTGGTACAGAGCAGTGAGCTGGAACTTCCGGGTTGTATTGGTCTCGTCGTCGAGTCTCTGAATGGGCCGGTGGTGCACGAGAAATTTGGCGGTGACGAAGAATATTTGATTTGGCACGAGGTCGTGTCGGTTTTGGGTGTCGTGCGGTGCTGTGCAGTGCTGTGCTGTGCTGTGCTGTGCTGTGTTGGGTTGGGTTGGGTTGGGTTGGTCGAGATCGGCTAGCGGTCACGCTCGACGCGTCGAAAGTGAAATATCTGAGACTCAAAAGGCCAAGGGAGTGCAAGGCGGGCAGAGGCGTCAAAAGTGAAGCGAAGTGGCTGTAGGGAAAGAAGTGAATCCGTCCTCTTCCTCCCCTGCCTGGTAATGATTCGGAGAATAGGAGATTTGTTTAACTGTTTCTACTGTACTGTACTGAAGGATAACCTTTTAAACTCTTTTCTTGCCGTATCAGCAGGGCTCATCCCAATCCATCCATTCCAACCCACAAGCCACTCTGATCTGATCTGATCTGATCCGACTTGATCCAACCTTGATCCAACCTCGAGTATTGGCTCTGCAGTTCGCTCCTCGTTCGGTCCGGTGCAGGCTGGAAATGCGCACCACGAGATACGTAACTGGGACACAGAAGGCGGGCGACAATTCTCGTCCTCGTTGCGCCCACGCAGCTGCTGGAGGCCGCGATAAACTGTGGGGGGAAGAAATGGGAATGGGAGTGTGATCGCACGTGTGGGAAGGAAATGAATGCGCCCAGGTCGTACCAGTATTGTGTGTGTGCGACCGACAGCTGGACCCTCGGTGTCGGGTCGGGTCGGATCTGATGGTTCGGTCGTTCTGGTCTGGCGACGACGGTGTCACGTCAATCAACCGCGTCGGTGGAAGACGCGATGCGGTGCGATTGTTTATTGACTTTCCCGAATAGCCTCACTCGACTACCTGGGATGTGATGTGGCGACTCGCAACGGTACTGCAGCGGAATGCAGGGGTAGGGGGGGTTTCGCGCACGCCTTGAACAGCATCCCGGCCATGTACTCCGTCTCCGTGCAGTAAGTCGTGTTAGTAAGCTGGATCAGGATGATAGAGACGCGCCGATATTGATTTACGGATTACTTGCTACCTTACTACGTACGTTGTAATTTGGTTCGCTTCGGACAAAAGAAAAGAATTGGAGGAGGTTCGACATGGATACTCTGGAAGGACATCGGAAGGGACAGAGGACAAGGGTAGGGGCAGGGTCATCGGGGCCTTTTCAAGTTTTCATACGGAGTACAATTTATTAGTGGGAATTGAGTTGTGAAGCAGAGCGCTATCAGATCATACTACTAGTAGTACCTCCTGTTTGAATGAGCGGCTCTGAATAGCCCACCCGGGTTATAGACTAATAACGACTAGTAACTAGTACCTCTAGACTGGACTAGACTAGAAGAACGATAACGTCGTCTAGGAAGTATCCGTAGATCTCAGTATCCTACACCCCCCCTTTTTGCAACATCAAATCATTTTCGTATTGTAGCTGTGGCCAGCCAACCATTCCCAAGATACGGCACTCGTCTCTAGCAATCCAAACACATGTAGTTGAGTACAATCTCATTCAACCTGGCAATACTCTGTAATCATTTCGGCCACCTCTCAATCTCTCACTACCAGGCAATGAGCTAAGATATCTAAAAATGGATCAAAAGCTGGACCGTGGCCCCATAGACCACTCAATTATCGGAGGTCTTGGCCCTTGGACTTCTACCTCCGAATTCCATCCACGAGACATAGTAGTATATTCTCCATCAACAACGGACCTGTAGGTAGTAGGTACCTACGGAGTACTTACGTACGTAGTACGTTTTACCACGGCTCAACTCCCACTCTACTTATAAATATCTTCCTTGTCAACCACTCCTACAACTATTATATAATCATTATCCGTCCACCTCTCGCTTACCTCCGACAATCTATCTGTGTTTGCACAGCAACTCGGTCCACCAAACCCTAACTATACAACAAACGCGGTACAAAAGTTTAGGTGCCAGGGTAATGTATTATACTTTCTAGCACGGCTGGTGTGCCAGCAGCCGTGCGCCAATAAGCAAGAGGAGCTGCGGAAGCCATGCGCACGGAGGGACTCAGGTCAGGGGAGAGAGCTCAGAGGAGGAGGGAAGGATTACCGAACCGAGACTTCTCCGAAGAAAAAAAAAAAAAAAAAAAAAAACAAAAAAAAAAAAAAAACACCCCCCTGAAAAGCAGTACAGTAGAAGAGCAGCTAGTAGTAGCTACTACTAGCTGCCAAGTGGAAATTGCCACCAGCAACTTCAAGTCCACATCAGCTAAGCCTTTTCAGGCACTTCACGATTCTAACTACTACGTACGTAGTACGTGGTACTTGTTTTGAGTTAGTCAGTCTGAGTCAGCTGGTCGATCCATGGCTAAAATTAGGAAGTCCCGTGCTGGGTAGGGTAACGGGGCTTATCCGCATGGAGTAAAAGCAGGCTGGACGGTGGCCACGCGTCGACTCTGATTGAGGAGCGGGTATCGACATGTCGATCTCAAGATCAATATTGACTCTCAAAGATGTTTGTCGTTGTACAACTGCAGATACAACTACGGTAGGAGGAGCATGCGACGCGGAGGATGGACTTGAGGGTCACCGAAGGGTACTCGTGCGGAGTTGGGCGAGGTGAGAGAGAGAGAGGGAGGGGTGGTTGGGATAATGGGTGGGTAGATGATGATGGGTGGGCAAAACGGATGCCGTACGGATTTTTACGTAGTACTATACGTACTACGTACGTAGTACTACTACTAGTATGTGTACGGAGGCAAAGGGAAAGCAGCGAATCGGAATCCCACGCAGCCCTCCGTAGATACCCATACTACGGCACGTTTACGTAGACCCCTCCTACGTATCGGTATCGAATCCATTGAGCTGAAGCTGCGACTGCAACTGCAGCTACCACTGCTGTACTAGCTGCTAGACTTCCTTACCCTTGTTTATCAAAGAGAAAGAATTGGAAAAAAAAATTACAATCCGTTCCTTTCTTGCTTCTTTCTGCCTATAAGATGCAGAGTAGGTGGACTCTGCATTATGCTCATTTACGGAGTATGCCGCATTATGCTATACGGAGGAAAATGAGGCAGTGTGGCCGAAACGGGAATCGTGTAGGTAGATAAACAGATAGATTTTTTTTGGTAAGTAAAATACGTAGTACAACTGGTAGGAGATACGTAGTATCTACTACCGTACCTACCTATCCATCCATCGGTTCTGCCAGCCGGCAAAACCCAGCCGGCAAGCTCAACGTGTTGATCCTCAACGTAGCCCTGTCCTTGTCGCCATACGTACGCACGTTCGTACGCATTGTTGTAGTCCGACTAGATTCGCATATTATAAGAGGGCTTTTGAAATATTGCAACTGCTACTTAAAGATACACAGAGTTATGGGATGTACCGTACTGGAATCGGTGAATACAAGCAAACAGATAGATCCTTACCGATCATGCATAAATATACTACTACATGTGATCCCAAAACCCAATCGACTTTCCTACGGAGGAGTCCACTTCTTTTCTTTTTCTCTTCCTCCGAACTATCTTTTTGGTACTTCCGCCGAGTGATACTGTACCAAAGCATAATAATGGTGTGATGCGATTGGTTCTCGGCGTTGCGTCTGTCTGTCTATCCGTCATGACATGCGCTTCTTTTGCTTCTTCTTCTTCTTCTCCTTCTTCTCCTTCTTCTCCTTCTTCTTCTTCTTCTTCTTTCTTTTTCTAGGGATCTTACTTCTTGTGCTACTCCGTGCAGAGAGGGTGGGGTGGGTGTTGACTGACTGGTGCTGTCATCGGTTCTTCGTATGGAAGCTTACGGAAGAGGCAAATAAAGTAGAAGGAAGAAGTCGGCCTGCATCTTGAGTCAGTCGACTGACGCTTCCCGCTTCCCGCTTCCCGTTTCCCGTTTCCCGTTTCCCGTTTCCCGTTTCGCGGGTTGCGTTGCCTTGCGTTGCGTTGATCATAATCCACAGCATCTACCATCACCAACCATGCTCCCGGCCTCAAACCTCCCTTGCTCTCCTTATCCTACCAAGTCTCTGCTTCTGCTGCTGTCTGTGAGGGGATCAAGCTGCCAGGCACGAGCAAGTAAACAGGGCAGGGAGTCCAACCCTCAGGCTCAGGGAGTCAGTCTTGTCCCGAGTTCAGGGTGCTGGAATGGATGGGGGGGGATGGGGTTTGGGGGATGGGGGATACCGGGGTAGGGAAGGGGGACGAGGGGGAGGGGTGGTCCTCTTCAGCTAAACCTCGAGGATCATACCTATCATGTTGACGGGCTTGGGGGAATATCGTGGAGATATATGCATACAAATATATAGTTGCTTGACCTCAGAAGGCTGCGAGGCTGTAATGGAACTTGGGTTGTGTGAGCTTTTTTTTCCCCTTTTTCCCCTTTTTTTTTGGCGTGTCATTCACCGACTCTTCGATCATTCATAATAATATTATTCTATTCTCATTTCCTCACAGTACGTCTCCTACATGATTTCTCATCTCTTCCCATCCTACTGTCATTCTCCCAGCGCATATTTTGAAGATCAGGTGTCATGGTCAACAATAAATGTCACATGATCCGATCGTACTAATCCTTCCACTCTCTCCGCTACATCTCCTGTATACATTATCGCAGCCGCAACCTCCTTCTATTCAATCTCATTCTCTAACCATGTTATACCCAACCCTTCCAATTCCTTTTCAAAACCCTACACCAGCTGGGAACTTTCATTCATCGCTAAACAGACAGGCCGACTCACGCCTCGAACTCATGACCTCGCCCAAACATACAATGTCAGCCGACCCATATCTTCCATAGACTGCGAGTAAATCCAAGCCCTGTTTTCCTCCAAGGTCAAACATTCAAAGCTTCCCGATCGACCCAAGCTTTGGCTTGCGACCAGCAAGCGGTATGGATCCGCCAACAGTGTGTCATGGGAACGATGGACCCGAGCGCTATATAGCTCGGCACAGACCTCTGTTCATCAACTACCTACTACGTACGTAGTACCTACCTATACATAGTAACTCCTCGCCTGCCACCTGGAGCTAAAACTTTCTCTCTGCTGTTATCTGTGCTCTGCTGAATTCGATTTGCAGATACCCAAGACCAGGATCCACGTCAGATTTCAGGAGAGCCAACCTATACGTCCACTCTCCATCGCGTTAGGTGGCGTTTGGGAAATCGGGGAGCATGAAATCCTCGAAATGAAAACGTGAAATTGAAACTTCGACATTTGTTTCATTATATAATCGATATTGCCTTCTATTTCCGATCCCGTTCGGTAACTCTCTCAAGTTCAGTTACGAAGGTCCATCCACATCGCAATGCCGTGGATCGTTCGTCGCACCTTATTGATACGAAATGGGTGTCCTTAGCATAACGTAGCTAAGTAAAACAAATTAACCGCGACCGTAAGAGACTTACGGACTTGACATTTTTCCTCACTTCTCATAAGCCAGGATTTTTGGAACAAGCTCTAACGTTGCTTGCTACGAGTCGATTTCAGTGGAGACTTGATATTGAATTTGTAGGTCTCTAGAAACAGAAACTGCTCTTTTGCAGCTTCTAGTTTCGAGAAGAATTTCGAGTTTCGAGGTTTCATTCCAAGGTTTTCATTTCGAAACCCCTTTTACCAAACACTTATTCGGTCAATTAAAAACCGAAAACAGCCTGAAAACTCGACTTCAGAGAGTTACTAAACGCGCCGACAAAGCAGGTCCTCACGGTGACCTCTTCAGACCCCAGGAACTCCACTCTCCACTACTCTCCCTCGCCTCCTCAGACGACGTCTCTCCATCGATCTCCGTGTCTCTCGACTATAAAGCCTTCCCGCTAGAACCGAAACACGCCCTCCACCAAATTGACCTTGTCACTATCTCCCACCCTGCTTATGACATTCTTTCTACCACACCGACCTGGTCGAAAATGGGCGCCCTTCTCGAGCATGTACATATTGTTCCAGGCGGGACGACCGGCAAATGACAAGACTCTTCCCGTGGCAATCAATAATAGTAGGACTTGACGTCGCAACTTTAGGGCCCCTTCCCTAAAGTGGGCGAAACAATTATATCCCCCGAAACAATTGTGTCCCGCGTCGCTTATAAAATAACGAAGAAATGAAAGATGTTTTTTAATTAAAATATCAATTACATAACGTAATAAATATACATATTCTTAGATCTTAATCAAGCCGAAAAAAGTCTAATTATGTCGCGTGTCTTTTAAATTAAATTAAAAAAAAGCTGTAAATTAAGGCTGCAGCGAATCTGATTTTACTTTTCTCAACCTTCTATTTAAGCTCTTTTTTGATCTTTTGAGTATAAGGATAGGGCCCCTAAAGTTGCGACGTCAAGTCCCACTATTACACTCCTTTGAGTTCTGCTAGATCCTCCACTCCCATCCATGTATAGACTGATAGACTGCGAGCTCTACAGTGCAACAAAACAGGACAACGGGTGGAGATATTTACTACGTACTTCCAAAGATAAGTAAGATCTCTTCTTGCTTTAGCTCCTATATCTATCTCAGCGACACGTCAGAACCTCCGCACACTCGCAGCCCACGTCTACAGTACCAGGGAACTGCTCCTGCATAAAACCACTTTTCGTACTGAAACCAAGGGTCAACACTTCAAGAAAAGATCAACATGAGCCGGTATTCATTGATCCTACGTAGTATCTTCGGGGAAGCTTCGGGGAAGTAGTTAATTATGACCGTCAAGATTAGATTTGCTTGTTTAATGTAGATTTGGATGCGTAAGGTAAAGCTAGAGGTCGCTCCTTTTTTTTTTTTTTAACACTTTTTGTTAGAGTTCAACAAAAGAAAGTCAAGGTTTTATTTTCTACTACATTTCTGCTCTGATTCAATCAATTTAAAAAATAATATAAGATTGGATCGTCTTATTTTTACAAGCTTGTTCTCGCTACTACGTAAAAGGTTTAACAATTCTGATTTGCCTTTCAAAGCTTAAGGTTGTCGAAAGTTGAAGCTGTCAAATGTACTACTACGTAAAAGAGTTCTGGTGCGAAACAAAAGTTTATGCATATGCATCAGCAGTTAGAAGTGTACAGTACAGTACAAATACGTAGTAAGTAACGCGGGGTCACCGAATGATGGAGAGTGGAGAAAGGGGTTCGCGAAGTTACATATATTATTATACTGTAGAGGTGACTGCTCGCGCGAGCTATCGTCCCTCGACTTCGGTGCCCCTTCCCCACAGTTGCTGCCCTTGCCTTGTTCCTTACACACCGTTTCAACAAGGGGAAACAACGCTGTACTTGACCCATATCACTCTCGATTTGCGCGTACGATATGTGCGTCCTGTGTTTCTATGTGTTGAGGGGTTAGCTGGACGCCTACATACCCCTCGGGAGGTCACACGACCTGTACTAAGTGGCCCGCGGACGTTATATGAATACTACTACGACGACTACTACTACTACTCTGGAAGCAAGCGCCTTTGCCCTCACAGATACCACAATCTGGAAACGAATTGCCCCGTTTCGAGCCTTCGAATGCTGTCTACTTTTCCAGAAAAGTTGGCGATGATATATGATACGAGATGTAATGAGATTTTCGTGACGCCGCCCTTGTGCTTCCCGAGCCGCAGAAATACAGTTCTCCGAGCGCGGGTAGCAATTCGTTCCGGTTGTATTGAGTCGGAACATCCCGATCGATGTTGTTCTCCTTTGGCATGTGTAGTACAGAAAGCTCCTTAAAACGAGAAGTGAAAAGGAAACCTCTCTCAGACACCAACCACCATCTGCATCCACAGGGTGTAGTATAGTCAAAACACAATGCCAACCAACCTCATCCCGCGCTGATATCCAGCTGCCAGCCACGGCGTCTTTACAAACGGCAGCGGCGTTCATGGGACGTATAGATCAACCGGGCACTTCGCTGGCAGCAAACAACAGTGGTGGTGGCTACTGCCCAACTCAGTACTGCAGAAGGGAAAGAGATTCGCGTCTTCTGGGACTTAGTATCACTGGATATGGATACATCGTAAGTAGGAGACGATCGCGAGGTTCGTCGCCTTGGAGACTAGTCTTTTATTGCATGGCGTTCGATATCGTCGGGTGCGTTGCGCAGATGCGCAGGTGCCTATCTCTGGTGAGGGCTTTGCGGATCACGAAGAGGAAATCACGATTGTGATGGCGACGGCGACAGCGGTGGATAGAATGTGGTATGCGTATGCTCCAAAGGTACCGAATTCACCAGTCGACGCGGGCTGACCCTGCCGAAATATTTCACCTCCATACTTCTATAATCGGGTAATACAACAGGATTTCCGAGAGTGTGAGTATTATGAGCGAATCTCGAATCGTGTATATGGGACCGGTGAACTCTGTGGTGAATAAAATCTATCGAGTGCGGTCGTGGCACAGCTCAGAAATTCGCGCTAGTCTTAAGCGAGAATTCCCGTATATTTACTCTTCATAACTTCAACTCGCGATCAATCAGCCACGCTACAAGCTGGCTATAGCAGTCTGGACCTGCCTGAATCTCTTTTGTGGTTTTCTCTTGACGAGAGGTTTTCTCTCACTGTGATCTATCCTATTCGTAAGGGAAGGGCGCAGACGATGGTAGCTCTCGCTGTAGCACTTTGAATTGCTTTCTGAGGCCTTCTTGTATGTAACTCTTTAGCTTAGCACGTCGCCGTACCCCATGGGAGGCCCCAGGGGGCAGGCTTTGCCTGCTACCCGCCCGACGTAAATAAATACAACAACAACAACCACAACAACTCGCGATCAATCGTTCGACGCGTAATCAACACCTTGACAAAACACTTCAACCATCATTGTAGTACCGCCTTGCAGTGCATCGCATGAACGCGTCCAGACAGAACGACGCGTCCTTCGTCGAGGAGCCGATAACACCGAATCATGCCTCCTCTTTGCGAGCTGCACTTCCGTGAGTCTAACTCGAATATATCTCCCCCGAGTATCTGAGTTCTGACCTTATGTAGCAACAGTCTCCCGTACTTATCTGACAGGGCCATGCCATTCCCATGTCCGCCGCTCCTGGGCTCAAGCTGAGACGTGGATTTCCGACGGGCTCACTCGTGGTTTTCATCCAGCTGATATCGGAAACATGGTGTCATTGGAGCTGGAGATCTCTCTCGCCATTTCTGGCTGTTGCACATGCTCCCTCGAATATTGCCTTCGTAGTCTGAATAAAATGCGCCGAGCCGGTCAATTCACATCCTTCTCTCCAAATACCAATGTCAACATCAACGAATCACTCAAGATGAGCCAGGATGGCTATGGTTACAGCTATCAATTCTCACAGAATTTCAGAGATAGCGACCTCGTCAGTCAGTATGGGATGGACCCTGAGATCTCTCGAGGGATTGGTATGTATCTTGACACCTATTCAATATTCCCGGTGTGATTTTGATACGGAGTAGGTCAAGAACAGGCTGAGAAGGACCTTACAGAGGCTGAACTTCAGGCGGTTCGAAAGGACATTCGCAAGCAGGCTGAGATTGAAAGTCGGTGTACGTTCCCATTGTGATCTGAACATATGATTGCAATTTACTGACATTGAATTCAGCTAAGGCTCAAGGCTTCGCTGAAGGGGGCTACACAGAAACCATCCAGTCTGGCTCGTCGCGCTCTAGAAGCTCAACTTCAGCGCTCAAGGCTGAAGGGAGTAATGCAAAGAATATCTCCACTCGCTCTGCTCACTCACGAAGACCTACGACTTCTAGCCATGCAAGATCGACCACCGCTGATTCCCGTACCGATATTCGTGCGGGTCATCGGAGTGAGACAGGTGATACGGGGGTTCTTTTATCCCAAGGAAGCAGCACAGCTACACTCACCGATGAGACCCGTACCGATATTCGTGCGGGCCATCGAAGTCAGACTCAGATGACCAAGATCCGTTCCTCCAGTAAAGCTTCATACACTGTCGTTCAGGAAGATTTGGCTACACTCGCTCCCGACGACTCGATTTCGCAGATGGTACCCAAGAAGCGGAGCAGAACTTCCACAATTTCGAAAGAGAAATATGTTTCATCTCGCAGAGTTAGTGACCAAGCCAATGCTGGTACAGCTTCATCGGACGTCACTCTTCGGCCAGCAGCACCTCGATCCCGCAAGCAAATCGCCCTCGACATGGCTGCTCTGAGCGCTGAGCTAATGGCACTTGACAAAAGCTCTGATGCTTCTGGTTATACAGAGCCTAGCACAGGTTACAGCAGCCGAGCTTCCCGTGGTGAAAGTCGCGGAAAGGATTCTCAGCGCACGATGGATAGTAATGCTACCCGAGAGACATCTAGAGAGAGACATCGCAGACACAGACGCGAGCGTGAGCAGGCCAGAGAGCAAGAAGGTCGACACCAAGACAAAGAGAGCCGGATGTCACGATATCGTCCAGACTCCAAGAGCGGGAAGACAAAAGATAGCTCCCGTGACCGTGAGTCGCGCGATCGCCAACCACCGAAGCGTGAGAGAACCCGCAAGATATCCCAAGACCGTCGACAAAAGGAGAGCTCCCACAGAAGTCGTAGCAGATCTAAAGATCGATCTGCATCTGGTATATCTCGAGCAGCATCCAGTATTGCGAGCTGGGTCACTACTGTTGCAAGCTCTAACACGGGCTCTGGGAGGGAGCATCAGTCGGCTGCCAGCTCTGCCGCTCTACCCGAACAGTGCAAACATGCTAAGCTTGGTCACCATTGAGAAGGATGATACAAGTACAGCGAGGGTAGCATTCTCATGTTATGAAGGAGACTTTGATATTTGGGGTGGACATCGCTGGGTGTCTCTGGCCTCCGTACTAGTAACCAGGCTCTGATACGACATGGAATACTTAGATAGGTATACCTACAAGCATGGGCTGGGCTGGAGATGCTAGACACTAGTAGCAATAGCTACGTACTAGTAACAGTAGTCACAGCAAAACAGTGTCATCCACTCGATCAACTTGAACATGAAGGTGAAATAATCAGATAATTGACCAACAATTGAATTTCGTAGTCTCTTGCCAGACTCCAAGGCACCCAGGTAATGTTAAAAAAACACTGTATTGCTTTAAACATCAACTTCGCCCGCGCGCGCCATCAAAAACCCCTTCCAAAAATTGAATTGGAGGGCGAACAATATTCTAGCGTATTACCGTTTAGTATCATATCAAACATTAAACAAGTGGCTCTAGGATCTGCATTCAATTCACGCAAAGAAATATAGAAGAAACCTGAATCAATACACAGATTCAATATAGGTGTGAGAATTGAAGTATACTCCTTCACTAAAAGTCAGGCGCTAGCCTTTAGCGAGATATATAATCCCTGTCCACAATACTCCCTCGTTCTCGAAACCTTCCGATGACAGCATCGAAACACTTTTTTACAATATTCTCTTCAAATATCATCTTCAACATTCTTGATCAACACAGACTTGCAAAGTATCTGCGCACGACAACCCATCCCCTCCTGACAAACCAGACAACATCCGCGAGGCACCAAGATGCCTTCTCTTCGTGATGTTTACTTTCGTAGGTCATTGTCAGAAACCAAGAAATATTAGGACTACACTGATCATATTTCGATACAGCCCGCGCCTCTCGTCGCGCGCATCACAAAGACTCTAAGAGATCGAAGGGATCCTGCAGCTGCCATGTGCGTCGCGCATACGCGCAGGCCGAAATATTCGTGGAAGATAAACTCTACCGGGGCTACAGCCTAGGTGCGATCGAAAATATAGTTCAAAAGGAGATCGATATTTCACGTCTCACAGGAGAGCTCTGTCCGTGCTACCTTCACTTCTGTCTCCGAATTCTGCGTAACCTGCGCGGATCACATCCATTCTCTTGCTTGCCTATTAATAGGGACTTCGAAATATACCAGGGTACGACGATGAAGGATGGAGTCTTCGAGCACAACTTCTCGTTTCGCCAAGACTTCCGAGACAAGAAGGTGGTACAGGAATACGGAATGGACCAAGAGATGTCGAGTGAAATTGGTAAGCCCCCTGTGATAGTTTTGACAATTTATCTGCCATATCTGACTGTTTGCAGAGCGCTCGCAGGCTCTGGATCAAGGGACGGTCATCGAACTGCGCCGCCTAAAAGATGGTCTGCACGCAGAGGCCGAGAAGGAGTATCAATGTGAGTTCACATTCATCAAATACAACTGGAATGTACAATATACTAATGGCCACATAGCAAGAAAGAAGCACATGCTCGAAGGCGGTCCCTCCTCTTCAATCAGCACGCAGACTTCAGTCAGCCGAGAGTCCAAGGCACCTCAAAGGTTGCTCAAAAACGGTCAGGCACAGAGCACTTACTCTCAATCCTCTTCCGGCTCTACTGCTCGACCAGACCACGCCCGAGATGACGAAGTCCGCACGGCTGGGAGAAGACGTCCAGAGAGCCGTGAGAATCAACGTCGCAGTTCACCCGAGACGGAAAGTCGCCGCGGTCGGGATAATTCATCTACGATCTCACCGACAGACTCCGTGTCTCAAATTGGACACGATCGTCGTATCTTCAAGACTTATGATTCGACCAGAATCGGAAACAACTCTCAGGCCAGACCCAGCAACCTCTCTGCGGCTGGTGACTCCCATGCTCCATCTCCCCTCAATCCCAGAATGGAGTATCGCCAAGAAGAACGAACCTATCGCGAAAATCGCTTCTACATGGGTGCTATACGTGCCGAGCTCCCGAGTTTCGATAACAGAGCATATAAGTCAGATCGCAGTACGGCAACCTCATCTCGTTCCGCAAAGAGAGATGAGGCTGAGAACAGCCGTCACAATCGCCCCCGCTCCGAGATCGAGAGAGGAAGCAGCGCTCATAACACCGGGACGGGCATGTCGTCCTATAAAACGGCTCTGGAGCACTTCACACTGAAGCCAGAAGTCAAGGCTAGTGAGTCTCGCACGCGGTATCCATTGAACAATCCCGAGACGTCTCGAAGACAGCCTAGCAGCACCAGCGGTCAATCTCAAGACTCCCGTTACCGCCCCTCTTACAGATCTCAAGCACCCTCTAGCATCCTGCCCGCCGCCGAATCCTCCAACGAGAGACGGCGAAGACCTTCAAGCGCCAAGAAGGAGACTGCCTCCAGCATCTACCCCATTCGTGAGGGTCGTGAGGGTCGTGAGGATGGTGATCGGGATAGCAGATACCGATACCGCTAGATTGGAAGCATTCGATCAGCAACCCAACCTCTCGATTACTCTTTCTGTTGCTTTCCGAGCGGTATACCAACTAAGAATTCAGTGCGAGCTTGCAAGGGGAAGTTCAGTGCATGAAGAGAGAGATGGGAAAAGGTTGATAGGAATCGATTTGGTATTGCGTTTTGCATTTCCGATCAGGCACCATTAAGGGGTAAGGAGACACTCTTTTTCGGCCTTCTCGGTATCGGTAGACTGCCGGTCTGCTATCGGCTTCCTATTGAGACCGAGAAAACACTTTCTCGACAAGGGGACGTCTAATTCAAAACACGGCATCCATAAGATAGCCACGGCGGGTACATCCTGCATCTCAGTCATCAAGCAGAAATAAAACAATGATGATCTTTCCTAACCCTTCGCCAAGTCCAGAATCTCAAAGTGAAACACATGATGATCAGCTCGACATGCTAGCCCATCCGATATCCTTTATATACTACGTATCATGCCAGCCATCCCTCACTTCAAGGCGGAGTCTTAATGCCTCAATACCCCTAAGAACCCACATCTGAGATTATATTGCGAAGCCTAAAGATAGTCTTCCCAGCCGTAGCTCGATCCCAACTGAATTCACGAAGCAGACAGACGTTCAACAAGGCGTGCCTTCCCGTTCCGTTCCAGCTCTTAGCTAATCATACCACGTGTCGTGGCCTTAGGCCACCAGGCTACTACAAGGTGGCACAGACCACTTGGGAGAGGTACCGGTATACCTAGGTATAGCCTCACGTTGCTCTGAGCTTCCTAGATGAACACAACGACCTTGCTCCTATTCTATCCTTAGCTCATTGTCTCCACGTGAGAAATATCATCCAACTGCGCGGCATTCCTCCTAAACTCGATGGAAAGACTAGTTGATTGTAAGATTGCCGTCAACGAAGAGCCACGCGCCGCCAATGAGATGGAATCCCATGAAACGGATGCGCGTCGCGCGATCGATTTCTGGCTTCCAAATTAATCAATCAGTTACCACACCTTATACTACCGGTATATGCCGAGCACCCATCACGCGCCCGCCCTCCAAGACGCCCTTACTCAAATGCATTACTGAAAAGCACTGACGTTGAAAGAATGAGCTTACGTCTAACAAGTATCATCCTAGAGACCATCCATCCGATAGCTCTCCCAATAGGGTATCTCTCGAGACCGAGAACTGAGCGATGCTATAACCAACTCCCAAAGCCGCGCAGCTGCAAACGAAGTGCGAATCGAACCGTCGTCTTTCTTCTCTCCAACCGAACTGGCAAGCTGGCAATCAGCGCTTGGACGCCGCTGGCTTCTTTGCCAGACCAACGCCCGCGCACATTTTCCTTAATTCTATCGCTTTCGAACCTCGGCGCGCTCTCGGAATCTGTGCCTGGGAGTCTCGGGCGTCTGTGAAGGGCCCTTGTCTTATGAGGGAATGAGTACCGTAGTAGGGTGGTGATGAGACGGGGCAACATTGCGGCCGTTGCTCTGCATTGATATGAAGAGGCATCCGAAGCATACTCGACTAGGGCCCAAGATTCGGAATTTTCGCGAATGCTCATCATGGTATGTTCAAGCGCGAATCTTTTTCTTTTTCTTTTCGGAAGCAGCGCTTGTCTACGAGATGGTTCTTTCGTACTTCGGAACGGAATCCAAGACGGGCGACGGCGTGATGTTGGTCTGTGCAAGAGATGAATAACTTTTGGCTTAAATCCGAGATATCCAGGCCCTGTCCGGAAAGCTTCACTTACGACTAACCAATCCTTCCCCCAAAAGCTGTTAGGGAAACTCCCGCCATTACATAACAAGTTAATAACAAGTTACGAAAAGAAAAAAAGAAAAAAAAAAGGGTAATGAATGAACGTATGCTTAAATAAAGTATTGCTACTAAACCCAAGCCTCCAGTCCTTTCGGCGTAAGGCATTCAGTCCGCTACACTACTGTGCGTCCAATCCCTAAAGCTCCTATTACCGTTTGCGGCGTTTGCTCAAAACCATCTCACTCAACTCAAGGACGTCGCCCCTGATCACCAGTTTTTGACAGACCCGCAATCGCTCGCAATATCTCGAGTTGACCTTGTCGAATCCCAAGTCCCCGAGACCCCGCCTCCCAGAATTTCGCAGCTGATGATTGAACACCGCAATTCAATGGCATATCTCTGGCGGTCCGGAATAAGAACCCTGAGCATGATCCAAAAGATGTATTAAGCTCGTGGCTCGGGCACAGTCTCTCTTTCTCCGCAGTATGTTCTGTCCCCCGACCAGTGACAGCTAATCGCAATCCAGCAAGCGCCATGATTTTATTTTGTGCCCCATTCCATTTCGAAGTCTCCTGAGCCACATCCCAACCCTTCGGCTTAGGCGACTATAGCCATCAACGTACCGCCGTTCTTCAAGAAAGGAATGTCTAAAATTCTCCTATTGAGCGGCTGCGGCTTGTTATTGCACCGCAAATATGCTATGTTTGCCGTCTGCAGGTCGTCCTTGACATATAGCAAGAAGTCCCGAAGCGCATGTCTGATGAGCGAGTTCTGCTTCACGAAAAACCCAATCCGTAAGGGGAAATGCGGCGATGCCAGGACGACAATCATCGAATACCGCCGCTTCTGCATGTAGAAAGCATCCCGCGCAGCCTCGAACTCGGTCTTTCTCTGAAGAGTCGTAATAAGCCCAAGCTCGATCTTGGGAATCACCCAGTTTTTGCTTTGGGGTCGTACCCCTGCTGTAATCTCCCAGTCTCGCTGTCTGGAGAACAAATCACGCAAACCCTCAAGCTCGTCCGCAGCCCAAGGGAGAGATTCGTCCTCGACTTTGTCCATCCGGCTTTCGAAGGGGAGGCGGTACCCATTTTTATAAATCCTCAGCAGTCGTGGAATATCCATCAAATCCATCATCACCAAGTTGCTGCAGTCTTGAGGCTCGTAGTACTTGGCTACGAACGTGACCAGCTTGAGATTTGGGAACCATCGTATAACTCTGAACATCCAGCGGATGTCGTCCAACCTTGACATCGTGCGGCGATTGAAACGGCTGAGGTATCCCCGACAAGGGCCCCCGCGCATCGTCGATGACGGGCACTTGTCTAACGCGAGCCTTTCAACGCGTTCAACCTCGATACCAAGGTCTTTTGCTCTGTCTGATCGTTAGCATGCGATTATCAACATGTGTGTTTTTTGTTATGTTTTTTTACTAACGTAGCACGATTTCTGATCAGTTTGTCGAGAACAGGCCAGCTGAGATAAAGGGTATCTTGAGGCAGAAACCACACAGTGGGCTCTCCGGTGGACGGATCCGCCAATTTCTGTCCATAGACCTTAGAAAGCACCTGGCGCGACTGTCGGCAGATGGCTATCTGCGCTGGAGGCGGAACGAGAGCCTGGGCCTGAGTCCAGGTCTCGAAACGACAATCCGAAGCTGCGTATCCTTCGCGATGTGTCTGCCAGCCGGGGGGTCTATAGACCTGCTTTTTCCATCTCACGCCCGGCATGGTGGTCTCATCCTCCGTTGTTACACGACTTCTTACGAGGGGCTTGATTTCCAAGAGCCGACTCGACTTTTTGGGGGTGAGATGGATCAGACGGGGAGCCGTGGGCGGTGCGAGACTGTACTCCCAGATGGCGAGAGTAAGTTCATTGGGTAAATCCTGCCAGTCGACCTTTTTCTTCTCGTGGGTGGGAGGAACGCGGGCTTCTGTCAGTAGTTCTTCTGGCACGAGCTCGAGCATATTGATGATATGATATCCTACAATCCTTAGGCTGATCCGCGAATGCGATGGCGCGATTGATATGAGGAAGTGGAAGTGGAAATAACTGCAAAAACGCTTGGAAGTTAAGTAATAAGGACTCCGTGTCGAGGGAGTCGAATGAATGCTGTAATCCGATAGCTATCGGTGATGGATAATGCACGATGGATAATGGATGATGGATGATGGATGAGATGATGGGAATGTTACGAAAACGCTCCTGCCAGAAGATCTGGACCTCAGCACGTTGGTACGTTGGTACGTTGGGACGTTGGGACGTGGGTAAGTACCGAGACAAGAAAGAAAAAAGCAAAACATGGGGAAATGACGAACGGCAGTTCTGCAGATGACAGCGGAATTCTTTAGTACGCAACTACTAGAGTACTAGAGGGCAAGTGCACTTGTCCCCAGGCGCAATGAGCTAAGGAAGGTCGAGGTCGGTCTAGAACTCGATGCTAGAGGACGAGGGGGAGGACGAAGACGGCCCAGTCATTGATCTATCCGAACAGCAATCAGGCTCTCTGACAAGAGGATGCAATCGAAGAGTCCAATATGTAATTGATTCTCGTGACAGGAAGAAAAGAGAAAACCCGAACCTCCGGAGCACACCTACCTCGCTCGAGGCGACGTGGGGATGCATTCTCCTGTTTATTCTGTTGTTTTCTTTCTCTTTTTCGATGCCATCACCTCCCGCCCTTCTTCCCGCCCTTCCCCCCTCTCTTCCCCTGGGCCCCTTTGCCCGCCGGCCCAGCAACACCGCCTGCCATCATAACCCGCACAGCCTTAACAGGCACCACGCCCGTGATCTCTTCGACCCTCCACCCTTTCAGTAGCTCTACCTCGCGTGGCCACATCCTCTCCGCATCCTCGCTCTTCTCGTCTACCCTTGCTTTGCCCCCTACACTCATATCGCCGACCCAGCGCGCCAGAATCTCCTTGACGGCCTTCCCCTTCTTCTGCGTTCCCGGCTGCAGCTTCGCTTTGTACTTGTAGTTCCCCATCGCTGCCCACGGCGCACACACCGGAATCGCTTCTATTATCTCATCCCCTTTACTCGGTCGTCCTACCAACTGTTCTAGCACCTCCATCTTGCCCTTCTCCTCCTCCTCGCCTTCCTCACCTTCTGCCTCGCCACCACCATTGTTCTGGAGCATGGCCTTCCTTGCCTCCTCGTGCTTCGCCGTATCTTGCTGCATGCGTTGGTGCTGAGCGCGGCGACGCTCTTTCTGGAACGCGAGTTCAGCTTCCTTGGCGGCTTTTGCTTCAGCCTCCGCAGCGGCTTTCCCGGCACCACCGGAGGCACCGATAATTTTCTGCGCTAAGAGCCGGTCTTCTTCGTCCTGGTCTTTGTATTTCGTAGCGATCTTTTTGGCTTTGCCTTTCTTGCCGCGCTTGGGGGGCGCGGGTCCTTTTTTAGCTGCAGTGCTAGGAGCGATGGAAGGTGCTTGTGCTATATTTTCGTCGTCGGAATCGGCGGAGCCGGAGGAATGGTCCGCAGATTGAGGCTCTTCTCGGGCTGGAACCTTTTGGGAGACGTAGTCGATATGGAGCTGGCCAGTCTCGTCTGCAGTCTGGTCGACGTCTTCGTCTGAGATAACAGGAAGAGTAGACTGCGTTTGAAGCGGGTTGGATTTTTCGCCCTCTTCCTCCTCTGCCTCGGAGTCTTGGTAGTCATCTGGGATGCTTCCTTGGTCCTCATCTAGCTCGGGAGTCTGCGACTCAGCAGCCACAGAATCTGCCGAGCTAAAAGCAGAAGGCACGTCTTGCAATCTGTGCTTGTTATGATTGACCTTACTTTCCTCGCTGATCAGGAAAATAACACCGAAGCCCAATAGTAAAACCGCTGGAGGCAAGAAGTTCTTTTTCCCTTTGATGTTGAAGCTCCCCGCTGGAAGAAACTCTCCTGTCGAGGCCGCCTTTGAAACTTGATCCGCGTTGACCCACCAAGCTGACATTCCAGCCTTCGCTTCCCAAGCAGATGAGCAAGAAATCGACAATGTTCCAGCTTGTGACAAAGTCGAGGGAGGAATGGGAGCATCTGGTGTCTTGGGGTTATTGCGGATCACCACACTTGCTGCACCTTGTACCTCGGCATGGACATATACATCGCCTTTTTTAAGGTACCTTCGGTACAGTGTCTCTTTTTGTTGGGGGTCTTTGCCGGCTAGAACAAGATATCCATCGGAAGAAATGAACCACGTAAACTTCTCGAACCACATCTGCCGCCGAACTGGTCTCAGAACGGCCTTCTCCTGCTTGAGACCCTTCCTGAGATCGTGGGCAATCTTCGCCTCTTGACTCTTCAATGCTTTGGTAGACGACTGTAGAGTCTTCTGTTCCTTCTCGGCAGCAGTGCGTTTTTGATCGTAATATTCTCTCGCATTGGCCCACGGTGACAATGCAAGGTTAACGTCGATGGTCAATCTCTTCTCGACCGTCTTTTGCTTCGGCTCCTTCTTTGGGGCCTCGTCCTCGCTGTCCGACACATCACTGTCTGTCTCGTAATTCGATTCGTCATCATCAGCATCTTCCTCTTCATCCAAAAGCAGCGAGATGGTGTTTTCCTGGAGCTTCAACGGCAGCTTGATTATCGAAGCAACCGGATTATTCCTCTTCTGCTCGATTTCCACGAGTTTGCCGATCTCGACCCAGTCCATTCCCTGAGCGACAAGACCATTAACTGCATCCATAGCTTCTTGTACTCGTTCAGCATTGGCCTGCAGTGCTCCAGCTTTGCGAATATTAAGCTCCTGGACTTCCTGCAGTCCACCCAACCGCTTGGCCTGATCCTGTCTAGCAGCTTCAATCTTCCGCTTCGCCATTTGCTCCCTCTCTTGCAGTCTAGACTCCAGCTTCTGCCCCTCGATCGAAGAGAAGAACTGGTCAGCCGTCTTATTGAAGCCTTGAAATTCCAAGAATACTGTAGCCGGGTCATTTTCAAACTGGCGGGGGCGGAACGGATGGAAGTCTTCATAGATAACAAACTTCCTAGCTTGATCCTCTGGGGAAGCTTCCTCATATCCTTCCTTCTTCTTCGCAATGATATATCCCTTCGCCACTTCAGAACTTGTGATCTCCTGGACTACGCTCTGAGCTTCTTGCAACGATCGCATTAAGTGATCTAACAGGTCTTGGCTCTGCAATACATCTGCCGGCTTGAGCGAGGCATCGAAATCCGTCACCCGCATAGCATGGTCCACCAGCATGGGCGGGTACTCTGTGATAGAAACAGCCAAAGCTCTTCTCAGCGCATCAGAAGCCTTCTTCTTGGGCTGTTTCCCAGCCACAAGGCCATCATCACCCCTGTCAACAGACTTCTGCAACGCATCCTGCAGACGCTCTTTCGTCAACGGCGGGACCCCTGCATAGTTCTGCCGATTTTCCAACGAGTACTTCAAGCCCACTCGGAGCTCCTCTTGTCCCTCGCCCTCTCCCACAATCCGCAGCAAGGCCAGTATATTCAGCTCCTTATCTGTTAAGATGATGTTCCCGCCTGCGTAGAACTCCAGGAAGAGTCTGTATTGCCCGTCACTGAACTGGAACTCGATGATCCGGTCGGTGCCGACAGGCGCTATGGAGGTGACTCGACGGGTCTTGAGGTATTTGCGCAGTCTGGTTACGAAGGCTGTGGGTGCTGCCGCTGTGGCACGGGAGAACTCTGTGAGATGGCATCGGAAGCCCGAATCGATTAATATTTGCTGCTTGTGGTCGGGCTTTGCGAACTTGATCAGGAAGATCTTGGAGGAGAGGTCGTAGATGTTGGAGACACGGAGGGTTACCAGCGCGGCAGACAGCTCGTGGGCGATGACCTGGAGGTTTTAGCTGGGTCGCAGAATATGTACGGCAAGATATGCGTGTATACTTTAACATCGAGGGAAGAGAATCGCTGCTTCATTTCGTTGTGTTGAGCCGCAATGGTGTTGGAAATCTGTGTCTCTCTGTGTGTGTAGTAGGTAGTGGAGGGGTACAATGATGATGTTCGGTGCGGAGGGGTTTGTCAACATCCTGGTCATCCCTTTGTCATGGAATCCTGTCTTCTCTCTTCCCTCTTCTCTTCCCATGCTTATGATCAACCAAAATGCATTCGACTTTCTTTTCTGGAATATCTTGAACTATTTTTTTTATCATATCATAGCTTCTGCGTACCTGCAAATATTGTTTATATTACCAATGTAGCCGCTAATAGCAGCCTAGCAGAATGGGGCATTGTTTTGTTGTTCTCGTCTGCTCCGACCCAGAAGTACCTACGGTACATAATCGTCGGTTCCGCCAACCCCCTAATAGTGGGCCTTGACGTCGCAACTTTTGGGGCCCTTTATTACCACAAACGATTACCTTACAAACGATTGCTTTCATTTCCTGTACTGACAATGTAGTTCATTACTGATATGATGCTTTTTTTTTGGGCAACTTGGGGCTCTACATAAGCTCTAATTGCGTACATTTCTAGCTGCCCACTTTTGCTCGCATCACACCTCTCAACTTGTGGCGTCTAATAGTCGGTGCGCTGCCTGTTCAACCTGCGAGCTCCCGGTGAAATTAATCGCTTGTTGTTTTGCATTTCACATCTATCCCCCGCTTTCATCCTGTGCTGAGGCTGGCATGCCTAGATTGTATCATTGCAAGGGCCGAACGTCTCAGCTCTGGTCCCATGATATATGCAAGAGCTACTGATATACCATGGAAAAGTTCTAGCCATAGCTCATTCATGTCTGAGCCTGCAACAAAAACTAGAATACATTCCTCGATTGACTTGCAATTCCACTTGCCATCCAAGGTGCTTTCTTAGCTAGAGTTTGATGTTGTTTCTGTTTCTGGCAGCCTCTTCTCCATACGGCCAACCGCTACCCAACTGATCCACAGCATCTTCCACTTTCAATATAGCTCTTTGAGCCGCCAACCTCTCGAGCGTACTGAGTGCCCTGCATAGTACGTTTATCAAAATGATAGGTCTCACTCACTTCAATACAAAAGCTGGCTTATCCTATTCAGATATATTTTTTTCAACATCAACACCATCCTCCCCAACAGCCCATCCCTCGTATACAAGCCTATGTAACGGGTAGCTGATGTTACCAGTACCAGCGTATAGGCGCTCTCAAGTAAATTTTTGTTCTATCTAAAAGAATGTATCTAGCTGCCCACCAATTTCGGCTTTATCTCTATAGCTCATATTGGATCCCACCTCAATATTGTAGAAGATGCACACGGCAACTATCGATTAAAAAAAAATCTTTCCTCCTCTTTCAGAACACCCAAGAATACTACAACAGCTCGGCGCCGAGTCCATGGTTCTGACAAGTTTCAGATTTCCAGGCGTCAGTAAGCCTAGAGATATTTTGCCGATGCTTAAGCTACCCACCAGTAGCTTGCTCATGCCAGGCCTTGCTAGCAAGCTTCGAAAGCGCAGAGTTCTTTTAGGCATCTCCCCTACCATGATCACCAATTAACTCACAAAGACACGCATGCATGAACGCTACCGAAGCATCCCATGTGTCCACTGTCCCGAAACATGCTCATCATTCCAATCAACCAACACCCGGGCAATCATCTCAGGGCCCATACCCGCGCAATAAAACCCTCCTCTTGCGCAGCAGCTCCACAAACGCCTTTTTGCAAATTTACCCTCCTCTGATCAAGTCGGTCGCATACAGTGTTGTCCTGCTCTATCTTCCTTCGTCGACTTCTTGTCCTGTCATCATATCAACCAACCCCTTTACAGCATCAACTCAGAATAGGAATTGGGAAATATACAGATTCTCTCTCTCGATAGCGGCGCAATATACTGGGTAACTGAAATTACAAGATTCGAGGTTGAATAAATTTGAATTAGAATGTGAGTTAGTCTCGGGCCGCGGAGGAAAGGGGTAAATATAAGCTGAAGAGGAGAGAAGAGCATTGGGTTTGAAAAAAGAAACGAGAGGACTTTACACGATTGGATCAGTGGTAGTTGTGGAGCGAATGGAGAATTCGTAAAGGGGTTAAAGAAGGGTTTTGTTCATACAAGTAGCTATTTTACTGAGGGTTTGATGGCTATAGCTCTTGCTACCGCTACCACTAGGCCCGGGCAAGCACAAGTCAGCAGGCACTCTCCAAAACATGCAATATACAACACGCCGAGAGCGGGATCATTGTCGAGTTTGGAAACAATATAGGCTGAATCGATACCTAGACTCGAAACTGATATCAGGAGCTGGTCCAACAACCCAACAGAGCCGATTCCGAACAGCTCAGCTAGCTGACGACGTTTAGGTACCGTCTCTGGGGATATCAGCTCGGGGCACCCACCAGCTGAGCGAAGGGCATGCCTATTCAAGATTCGAGCGTCACTAAAACCACTCAAGCTCTTGCTTGGTCTTTAGGTACCCGGCTTCGGGGCCCTTGAAAATCAGCGGCGGTGCTCCTCAGCTCTACGGGTACGCGTTTTAATACATACATACATACATATATATATATATACCCGTAAAGCACCGAAAGAAGTCGAGCGAGATGGCCAAAGCCAGACTTGCGCGTTGAATTCTCGCCCCCCGATAATACGCTGCAAAGAGCTTTCGTCAATCCCCAACTTGTCGATACCGCGTCGAGCCATTCCGGCCTTGCGCTTTAGGGGCGCAACCTAATGCCACGTAGATCTCACGTCGGAGTGAGTGGTCCAGGCGTGTATTTTTCTAGCTCGCAAAGGACCATGTTCTTAGCCCTTGGAAATGTGATAATGACTGAAGATAGTGACCAATTTCAGCGCAAATTTTCTACTCTCTGGTTCTTGGCAGCGCGCTGTGTGATGTGCCACTCTTGAAGAGGAGGTTGATGTGGCGGTCCTTGGGCAGCGATCTCTTCCAGATAGGCAGATCGCCTGGCAGACTTCGAGCGGTCGCAGCTCTGGGAAGACGGCGGAGGTTGCGGAGGGTGGATCTGGACTTATGAGTAGCCCCTTTTGTTAAATTTTAGAGAGGAGGCAAGAGCCCCAATGGGCTCCGTGGGGTTTTTTACCATCTCCTGCGCACGCAACTTGTTTGCTCAACAGTCGAGCGCTTGCATGAATGGCTCCGTCCTCATCAGCTGCGATTTTCAGATTTGGATAACATTAGCGATGGCGGCCATCAAGGCTGCTTCCATGTACGAGTCTGCCATGGTTGACAGCTAGAATCTCTCGGTGGTGTTTGGTGGGTATGTCTGGTGGCGTTTGGCTACGAAGCCGCCAGATAGACAAGCCAGAATCTATGTCAAGGCACTTACCAGAGCCCTCTTGAAATTTCTCGTGCTTCCTGTATCAAACAATGCCTTTGTAGCAGCTCCAGCGTACTTGATCACGCTTTAAGATAGCTGGCTGCAGGGAACCGTGGCAAGATATTTGCTCCTTCAAGCATACAAACATGCCTTCATGGCAACCCAAGGTCCTCTAGACATTCCCATCACATCGTCCTATCTTCAGTCTGCTTCTCATCCATTCTGGTAAAGCCGATCTCGAGCCAATCATTGGGTTTGGATGTGTTGTGATCTAAGCGAGCAGGTGGAACTTCGATCACTTATCGGCGCGCCTTCTTCTCTCCTCAACCATCTTCCTTTCCTCTTCCAACCACGACTTCCATCCCAGAACCGCACAACTCCATCGCATATGAGACTGGCGACACCTGAATGGTATCGACGTCTCTCGCATGACAGATCTCCCTCCGGTACGTTTTCTTTGCTCCCTTAACTCCAGCTTTCAAGCTCGAATCTCGATCCATCCCCCCTCTCTTCCCAGGCCGCAATTGGCCTTCGCTCTTCCTCATTCCATCACCCCCCGCCGCCCCCCATACATCCACACGTGACAAGAGACTCACTTGCGAGCGACATCTTGCCCATGTGCCAAGAACCTCTCCCAAGCCTGCTGACCAGAACAGAACGAGCTCAATAGTCCTCTGCAAGAATAGAACTTCTTCAGTTGGCTAGTTCAGGCTCTGACCCGATCCGACTCACTCACAACCACAAGACCAACTGGACCGCAGGTCTGTCGAGCGTAGCCTACACGTCCTCCAAGACGCTCATAATCGTAAGTCATCCCATATCTCTGGCTGCCGTTGCAGGTAAATCGCTCGGGTGAGGTATGAAGCCTTCGTTTTTCACCTCAGGGAGCACAACCCAACTCCGTCCCCTCTCCATCTTCAACCTCACAACATTCCAACATTCCAACATCCAACC